GCCACAACGCCCGGCTATTTTTTGGTTGCAGCCATCATTGTTGTTTTGGCGGGCCTGGGCTGGATTCAAACCCGCCACCTTAGGTGTATGTGGCTGGCACCTTCGCCGCTTGAGCCACAGGCACCAAGCTGAAACCTGTTTTTTTATGGTGCTGCCAACATAAGTGCTCAGTGGCAAGTTCACAAACTTAACTGTCAGACCTCATATTTAGCGCTACACATGAGAAAAGTTCCACTTGTATCATATCTTCTACTCCTATGTGTAATCACAAACACAAAACTAATGTTGCCAAATTTTGAGAGTGTGCTTTTCTTTTCTTTTTTTTTGAGACAGAGCCTCAAGCTGTCGCCTTGGGTAGAGTGCTGTGGCATCACAGCTCACAGCAACCTCCAACTCCTGGGCTCAAGGGAGTCTCGTGCCTCTGCCTCCCAAGTAGCTGTGATTGCAGGCGCCCACCACAACACCCGGCTATTTTTTGGTTGCAGCCATCATTGCTGTTTGGTGGGCCAGGCTGGATTCGAACTCGCCACCTTAGGTGTATGTGGCTGGTGCCTTAGCCAGCTTGAGCCAGAGTGTGCTTTTCTAATTGGCTGCCGTTAAGAGTTTGTTCTGAGTAGCTAGAGCGAGGCCAACAAGGCAGGTTGCCACATACAAAAAAATCCCATTCAATTGGAAATAAAAGGAAAGGGCAGAATTTAGCCATGGGCTGATGTGGAAAAGCAGGAACAAGCTCCACCCCTGCAGCAGACACGACTTAGGAAACCAACAAACCCCAGCCCACCAGTGAGAGGCAGTGCTGTGTAGCCTGCAGACAAGCTGCTGGGGGGAGTCACATCCAGCCAGAGAGGAGGGCGGGCCCAGAGACTCCGTGCTGAGTGACTGGTGGCCGCAGGGAGCATCAGACTCGAGCTCCCAGAGTGCAAGGATGTGGAGGGGCCTGTGCAAGCAAGGTGGCTCCAAGCTCAAAAGGCACAGCTGGGCAGGACCTGGACAGTGACCAGCAGGCTGCATGAAGCACAGGCAGGGGACAGCAAGTAGAGGAGGTATCCAAGACAGAGCTAGAAAGGAGCCCTGTGGCTCGTCGCCTGTGGCTCAAACGGCTAAGGTGCCGGCCACATACACCTGAGCTGGCGGGTTTGAATCCAGTCTGGGCCCGCCAAACAACAATGATGGCTGCAACCAAAAAAACGGCCGGGCATTGTGGCGGGCGCCTGTGGTCCCAGCTACTTGGGAGGCAGAGGCAGGAGACTCCCTTGAGCCCAGGAGTTGAAGGTTGCTGTGAACTCTACCCAGGGTGACGGCTTGAGGCTCTGTCTCAAAAAAAAAAAAAAAAAGAAAAAGAAAGAAAGAAAAAGAAAAGAGTCCTGTGAGAAGACAGTGACTATCCAGACCCTGCAAAGCCATGGAAGACTGCGCAATCCTGCAGCAGTCACTTCAGGTTGGGTGATGAGAGGCCAGGCTCATCTACGCCACCATTTCCCATTCTCTTATCCATTAGCAAATTCAGAAAAAAACCCAAACTTATAATGTTGATTTTTAAAAATGTACCTAAAACTGATCAAACCTGGCAGCAATGGACTTCAGGTAATTTCCAACATACAGAGAACTTTTCCCAACCGTTAGAAGAGGTTGTATGCTCAGGGATAAACACCTTAAATCACAGAAGCCTCTATCATGAGCTGCCATGTAGAACCTGTATTTAAAAGATGCTTTACAGTATTGACCCTGAAAAACAGGAGTACAAATGCACATGAAATAATTATCTGAAAAACGATCCTCAGAGAAGCACTGAAGGATACTAAAACTCCTATCTGTGATTTCCAAATGCCACAGATTAATTCTCAGGTCATCTGCAGAAAGATATGTTTCATGGTCACTATTTACGGAAATGGAATTTATGTGATATGTGTGAGCATTTGCAAAAATTCGCCGTGGACTTGCTTCTACCATAAGGTCCATGGGCTTCAATATTGGGACCTAAAAATGGAAGGAAATAGGAATTTAAAACAAGGATCAGAGCAGATTAAATCAGAACATTTATACTAGATAACAAAAAGGGACAAATCTATAGCAGTTAAGTAATAATTTTATGTAGGTAATACGCTCAATAACTAATCAACAGAACTATGAAATTAGGGTACAAGTCTATTCCAAGTTTCCCCTCTTTTGCTTTTTGTTGAAGAAAAGAAAATAAGCTGACACCCTAACAGGCTGTCCCCAGGTGCTCAGGCCCAATGGTGTAGTAACCCTGTGTGCTCCCTCTACCCCGAGGCAGTGGCCATGATGCTGACGCAAAGTCTTCTTGGAAGGCTCAGTGGATAGCCCCTGTGTCCTCTCTCCTGTGGCTAGATGCATGGACCTTCCCTCCCACTGACTACTGGTCTGCTGTGCACAGACCACACGCATCAGACGGTGCAGGGCGGCAGGGAACACGGCAGGGAGCACGGCAGGCCCCTGGGCTCCAGCTCTTGACCTGCTGCTGGTGTTAGGCTCGTCCGGCTTGCGAGCACTTGTGCAGCTGGTCACTTACAGGGAGGTGCATTTTTAGGTGTGTATATAATATTTCATTGAAGGTTACAAAAACAAAAAAGCTAAAGGTGCCCCCACACCAGTATCTGTGGTGAGTGCAGTTGGTCAGAGAAGCTCCCCGGGAGTAGCACGTCCACGCTGAGATGGAGGAATGGGGAGGAGAGTGTGCTGGCTGGAGGTACCTGCGGCCACACGCAGGGTAAAGCTCAGCTGTGAGGAGACGCCACGTGTGAAGGGGACAAAGCCCTGCCTGACATCTAGCTGGAAGGAAAGTTCCAAAATCAAATAAAAAAATAAAGCATTCTCTTCATTATTTAAGTTATTAGAAACCAAAGCTTCAAGACCTGGGAAGAAATCTCTCAACTGAGCAGTCTCTGGCCAAATTCTGTAACAATGAACTTGGGAGGGTGTGTACGGCAAACTCTTCCCTCATTTTAACACAGTCATGCAAATACACCCTTGGATACTCTGGACCAAGAATGTCAGTTCTTCCACATGTAAGATTAAGAATACACCTGACATAACCCTCTAACACATGGCAGGTGTAAATTTAGAAAGATCCTTTCTTTTAATTATAACCCTCTTCTATCACTAAAATAATTTAAGTGAAAAAAACTTGAAATAGCAAACTTTCTCTTACCCAGTTAAGTTCAGATAAATTAACAGCTCATTTGAACTTTTAGAGAGGAGGAATGCAAGGTGCAGGATTACCTGGCCTGTGATCTCTTACCCACACACTGAGACTAATAAAAAAAATAACCGTGCTTCTCACACGCCTTCCCTTTGGCCGTTAGACAGGTTTTATTTAGGCTAAGCCTACAAAAGCAGCCCTGAATAAAATCAAGATTGAGCCTAATGAAGAACTATAGTTTTTCCAGAAAAAGCACATAAACTCAGGGGATTTTGGAGGGGTCTGATCAGGAGAAACCTGGGTTCTGGAGAGAGGGGTGTGCACACACAGGGGCAGGAGGTGCTGGCCACAGGGGAGATGGCAGGACTGTGGCACCCAAGGCGTCCTCCATACCAGCACGGCTTTTGTTCAGCATCATCAGTGGCCTGATGGGAACTGTAAAACTAGAGCCAGTATCACTGAAGTGATTTCCATGGATTCGTAGCTGCAAGGCAGCAGCACTGTGTATCAGGGTCACCAACATCCTGGGTCAGATTTGGGTGCCATAACCCAGGTCTGAGCAGGCGACCGCTCTCCAGCCTCAGTGAGCTCACTGGGAACATGGTGACAACAATACAAGCAGCACTCAAGAAATGGCACCTGAACAGACCATGTGCCCACTGGGCCTGGGGGTCTGCCCAGTCCCACCAGGGGGTGGCCCCTGAGTTGGCGTCTCCGCAGGACCTCATCTGCTAGCCCTGCACTGCAGACTGTGCTCACTGGTCAGGTCTCCACTCAGCAGATGCTGGTGTAAGTCTAAGATGCTAATTGTTTTCCAGCACCCTAGCAGCACTCCCTGGGACCAGGGGGTCTTCTCCGAGGGACACCTCTGTCCTGAGCACTGGGCTATAGTGCTGTCCATGCAGCACTCTGATGATTCACCAGGATACCTGGGCTTGAGCCTGGTGAGTAATGTCCTTTACCACATCTCATGTAATTTAAAACACCACCAATGGTGTGTCCCACGAGGTCAATTATAAGACAATAAAATTTTAAGTTTTACCTTATTTCATAGATGCTAAAATGTAAAAAAATCTAGGTACTAGAATTGATGAAACAGTCTTTCTTAAACTGCATCAGGAGTGCCAAAAAAGAAAGTGAAGAATTTTTAATTTTTTGTTTGTAGGGACAGGGTCTCTCACTGTCACTTGGGGCTAGAGTGCAGTCTTGCAATCGCAGCTCAAATGAAGCCTTCAACTCCTGGGCTCAAGAGATCCTCCCACCTCAGCCCCCTCAGTAGTTAGGACTGTAGGCGTGGTCACCATCCCTGCTAACTTTCTTTTTTGTAGAGATGAGGACTCAGCATGTTGCCCAGACTGGTCTGAACTCCTAGCCTCAAGCAATCCTCCTGCCTCAGCCCCTCTAAGTGCTGGATTATAGGTGTGAGTCATGGAGCCTAGCCAGGAGTGAAAAATTTAACAATTGAAAAAAAGTACTAAAGCTCATGGGCTGAACCACCTGCCTTCCGTAAGCTGACACAGGAAGCTCTGAAAAGACCTGCCCTACTGAGCTCAGGGGTCCCCAGCCCGCCGGTCAGTCTGTGTCTGTCACTGCAACCGACTTGCCTGCTGCCCTGAATGCCCAGAGGGAAAGGTGCTGGTGCTTTCTGAGAGATCTGCTGTAGAATTAAACTTTCCCTTAGTATTGCCATTGCTGTATTTTCTAAGGATAATGTATAGCTTTGCCTTTGTAAATGTATGAGCAAGCCCCTGCTTTAAACCCATGTCTGTAGAAGTGATTACGATTACAAACAACTCTCACAACTCAAGGAGCGGATCACATGCTATTTCACTCAGCAGTGCCCTCTAAACAGCAGATTTAAGAGCATTCCTCTTGACTAGTTTCTTAGAAGCAGGGACAGTTGAGACAAAGTGCAGTGTACCCGTAGCGCGGTGATTCTAAACGGATCTCGAAGTCGCCCATCTTCATCCTTCAAGTTATAACCTTCAGCTCTCTTATCCCGTTCACTTATTTTCCATAATTTTATAGTCTTATCTGAAAATAAAAATCTTATTCTTCATATTAAAAGAAACACCATAGCATGCATCATGATTATTTGTGTATTATAACAGAAAACTGGTACTAGGACAATTTAAGCTATGGGGTCTTTGGACGTAAAGATTTCCAACAGATGAATGTCTTGCTCTGTACAGTAAATAAAGATGTGAACACACACACAGAATAATGCGATACTGGGGTGCATGTGTGCCTTTTGTTACACACTTTGAATTTTCATTTTCATATTTTTTGGCCAGGGCGGTGGTGGGGCGGCACCCTACTCCTTTGAGCCACAGGCGCCGCCCCACATTTGAATTTTCAATATATCACTTGCTACCCTAGCTAATCCCCCCCCCCAAAGTTTAAAGCAGGAATAACTTTCAGAATGGGTTCAAATAAAAAAGAATCCACACAAACAGAAAATTAAAAATAAAATACTAAATATCAACGGCCACTTAAAAAGCAATTCTTACCATTTGTAGAGAGCAGAAAATGAGCAGCATTCTGTTGTGGCAGCCACCTAATTTTATTAATTTTTTCCTCAATTTCTAAACTTTTTAAATAGTCAAACTCTGGTTCATGACTTTGAAAGGTACTGTAAACATTATATTCTCCCCTAGAGTGAGGGCGGCTTTTATTCTGCAAGGAAAACAGGACAGCTGTTTTAGTGAACAAAGCACAGTGCAGACCAAGTTTTAGCACCATCAATGTGAACATCAAATGATCACACATGATATTTTTTTAAACTTAAAAGAAAAAAAAAAAACCAAAAAACCCTGGTTCACAAAACCCCCCATCTCAAACATGAAACTCAGAATTAATTTTCTGGAGAAAAAAACGAACATTTCCCAAGCCCTGTATTCTACTTTTAGGCATCCTCAACCCTGGAGTAGGGTCTGCCAGCCGTGGCCGCTGCATGGGGCCCAGTCTCATAAGGACCTGAAGGACCTGAACAGACTCCCCTGTGCTTGTGGTCTCTGGCTGTTCTCCTGCTATCTGGCAGAGGCAAGCAGTTGTGAAAAGGGCCCTGCGGCCTGCAGAGGCCAGACCTTTGCAACCTGGCCCCGTGACAAAGTGTCTAATCGACTGATGGGGAGAAGACCCTGGTGCAAACCAGGCACAACACAGTTGCCAATCAGGGGCTGGGAAGCAGCAGCAGGCAGTGGCTGTGCAGTGACCAGGGCAGAGCAGGGGCACATGGCCAGCCCCACATGCCGTACATGAGAGGTTGCTGCACAGACACCCACAGTGAACTATGCCCTGGCAGCAATTCTACGAGTTACAGTGAAAGCAGAACATGCTTGGGAGAGATACGCCATCCTCAAAACAATCAGCAACCTGGGAGGGTGGACAGAACAAGGTAAGACTGGAGGAAAGTCAAAGAATGAAATGGTGGATTTACACCGATATCTGAAATCTTTTCAAAACTAAAAACTGAGAACATGGCCAGGAACAGTGAGTGGCTCAATTCTGTAATCCCAGCACTCTCGGAGGTCGGGGTGGGTAGACAGTCTGAGCACATTGAGTTCCAGACCAGCCTGAGCCAGAGATCACATCGCTAAAAACAGCTGGGTGTTGTGGCAAGCGCCTATAGTTCCAGCTACTTGGGAGGCTGAGGCAAGAGGATCACTTGAGCCCAAGAGTTTGAGGCTGCCGGGAGCTATGACACAGCACTCTACTAGGAGTGACAAAGTGAGACTCTGTCTCAAACAAACAAACAAACAAACAAAAAACCAAAAAACAAAACTTAGCCAGATGTTGTGGGGAACACCTGCAGTCCCAGTTACTTGGGAGGCTGAGGCAGGAGAATCGCCTAAGCCCAGGAGTTGGAGGTTGCTGTGAGCTGTGATGCCACAGCACTTTACCAAGGGCAATAAAGTGAGACTCTGTCTCTTAAAAAAAAAAAACAAAACTAAGAACACTAGATTCTATTTAATTCTTGCTCTATAACCAATACCTAAAATTTCACCAATTTTTTTTAAGAGATGGTGTTTTGCTGTCCCATAGGCTGGAGTGCAGTGGAACAATCATATCTTTTTTTTTTTTTAAGACAAGAGTCTCACTATGCCACCCTCAGTAAAGAGCTGTGGTGTCACAGCTCACAGCAACCCCCAACTCTTGGGTTTAAGCCATTCTCTTACCTCAGCCTCCCAAGTAGCTGGGACTACAGGCGCCTGCCACATCGCCTGGCTAAGCACAATCATATCTTTTTTTGTTTGCAGTTTTTGGCCAGGGCTGGGTTTTGAACCCGCCACCTCTGGCATATGGGGCTAGCGTCCTACTCCTTTGAGCCACAGGCGCTGCCCAGCACAATCATATCTTACTACAGCCTCAAACTCTGGGTTCGAGGGATCCTCCTGCAACAGCCACCCAAGCAGCGAGGATGACAGGTGTGCTCCACCAAACTCAGCTGCTTTTTTTTTTTTTTTTTTTTAAGAGACAGAGTCTCACTTTATCACCCTGCATAGAGTGCCGTGGTGTCATACAGCTCACAGCAACCTCCCACTCCTGGGCTTAGGCGATTCTCCTGTCTCAGGCTCCTGAGTAGCTGGGACTATAGGTGCCCACCACAACGCACAGCTATTTTTTTGTTGCAGTTTGGCCAGGGTTGGGTTTGAATCTACCACCCTTGGTATATGGGTCTGGCGTCCTACTCACTGAGCCACAGGCATCGCCCTTTTTACATTTTTTTTATAGAGACTATGTTGCCCAGGCTGCCTCCAACTCCTGTCCTCAAGTGATCCTCCCACTTCGGCCTGCAAACTGCTAGGATTACAGGCACAAGCCACCGTGCCCAACATAAGATCTTGTTTTCAATACTTTATTACGTAACCCAAAGAAACTGAACTAAACAAACCTTTATGTTCAGACAGATACCTTCTGAATTAAGATAAAAACTATGAAAAACTATGAAAATACAATACAAAACTACCCAAATCTCTCCAGTGCATCTTTCTTTCCTTTTTGGAGACAGGGTACTCAGTTGCTGGAGTAGAGTGTAGCAACATCATCAGAGCTCACTGCAATCTCAAGCTCCTGGGCTCAAGGAATCCTGCCGCCTCAGCTACTATGTACAGCTGGCATTAAGTTTTACTTGTTGTTCATTCCTTGAAAGATAAGTGTTTGGGGAAAAAAGCCTGATACCCTCTGTCCAGAGTTCCCTGAGAGTGTAGTAAGGGTGTTTGGGGGCAGAAGCCTGAGACCCACTGTCCAGAGTTTCCTGAGCGTGTAGTAAGGGT